ATATCTTCATTTGTTGATTAGATAAAAGTTAGCTCCGAGAAATCACTTTTAAACCATATGTATCTCTATCAGTGCCGTCCCATGGATAAAGCAAGAGAAACCCTTGCTTTAAGCCTCCCTCTATGAGAAAAATTTTTAGGCCACATATACAATATGTATATATAGGTCTAATGGTTTGAGTGTAGATAGATAGAGTCTCCACATCACGGGTTCGCCTCCATATATATGGACCACATTTTTTTGAAATACTTTAAGCCTCCAAATTGTTCGGGACGGCACTGATCTCTATCATTTTGTCCAAACCGTTTGTAAAGTACGTAGGAATGTTAATGCTTTAGCTTGTAAGGCTGTTTGGGAACTCGATAATTTTACCATTCCTCACAAAACATGCTTATCGTGGTGATCTCGGAGCTGTTTGAAAACTCGGTAATTTTTTTTCTCTCTGTCTAATTCACATATTAATGTAACTTTGTTACATATGCATTTGTTAGAACCGCCCATATCCGCGAATTGAGTTTTTTTGTATGAACCTATGTTACGGATTACTTAAACAATCTCACTTATTCTTGTTGATAAAACAAATGATTTTTAGTAGTTAACAATAACATTTTTGTTCTAAATGATGCCGAAGATTAAATAGTTTTAGTACAATGTTATCATTGGTATGGTTGATCATTGATGCATGTATTGATTGAATGTGGTACATATAAATGTTATCATTCGTATGGTTGATCATTGATGTATTATGTAGTACATGTAGTATAAGCCATTCTCTCATCAAATAATACATGTGATCGTTGTAAAAATTATATAGCTGTTCTCTGAGAGAATGGGGCCAATTTTTATTTATTTTTTTGTCTAAAATGGAGAAGACAAGTCCATTAAATTCGGTTGTAAGTATAATGTGGATAAACTCTTCTCCAATTATTAGACAAACAAACATATATATGCATGAGGATGAAAATAATAACATGTCATTTTTTTAAAAATATACACCTTTTTCATTAATAACAAATTATTATAAACTATTCTTTTATTTGGACTATAATATCCGCATTTGATATCGTTTAATAATGTGTTATATAACGCCAATCGTGGGAACATTAATACGTATATACAAATTTTCAAAACTTTTTTTTGAAGAATTCGGTGTAAACTATAATTAGTTGACCACTCATGCAATTAATGTATGAACCTATTGTGTTATTGTTTCTTATTTTAAAAGTAGCAAAATTAGATTAGAACACTAGTGTATCTTAGTAAGGGGAGCTTGTGTATCTTAATAAGGGGAGCTTGAATAATGGAAATCTCTTGGTGAACAAAATTGTATAATTGCTTCATTTAAACCATAACGTACCTATTTAAAACTCCTATATATTAGTATATATCAATATAATTAGTGCAAGGATTATGGAAATATAAAAAATTATGAGTCTACTATTACATGAAATTAAAAGCGAAAACGAAAAGGCTTTTGACGTTTACCTTCACAGAAGTTTCAATAATCTCATTGCATGCACGTGAAGTATACGCATTTTACTAATTACTCATAATTAATTTATTACTACTACGCAATAACAAAATAAAAATATAGTTTCGAATAAATACAGTTCAGATCGAAAAATGGAGTATAATTTAGAGTAATTAGAATAATTTATTTATTTTGACTTTTGAGTTAATTAGCTAGAAAACCGAGAACAATAGTAAAATTAGAAAACTAAACAAAAACTTTTGAGATTCTTTTGCAAATAGGTGGATTTTATAGATTTTGATTAGAATACAAATTACACTAATTTTTTTGGCTATGTGATGCAAATACACTTTTTAGTTTTTTCTCACACAATTTTTGAAATTTAAATTTTTTAATAATAGAACAGAATGGAGATAAGTTAAACAAAAAAAAAACAGAATGGAGATGTATTTTTTCCATAAATTTGTTATAGAAGTTTATTTAAAGCTATTTAGTGCTTTGGTTCCGTTCTACACATTTTGATTAAAAATTGTAATTTTACATTAAGATAAGACAACAATAAATAAGAAAAAAAAAAACAGAAGAAGGATTTGATAAGTTTTCTAATTATGATTACAATTTAAAATTAGAAGTGTTTTCTACGGATCACATCAAGAATGTCTTTCACATGTCCACC